AATTACTGCTACAAAACGGTCGCTACAATGTTGTAAATTAATAACCTCCTGATATTAGGAAGTTTATTATTGACATCTATAGCGTACTTATGATGTTGACTGTTGCCATGTTTACTGTAAATGTACCCATGTGAAACAAAAGTCTGTCACGCAGAGAGTGGCAACATTAATATATCAATATATTCTAATAAGGACATCAGTCAATTCCGTGTCGGCGCTTTCAGTTCAATGGCCGTTATTGAACCTGGTGGCACGTTGAAAATCGTGGCCATATGTATTTAAAGCGGGGGGGGGTCGTCGTCACCTGCGCACGTGCGGGAATTGAGTCCCAATCGACAACACACGCTAAAAATGCAAAGGCTCATGGGTAGACGCTTGTTTGTAAAATGACACGCTATGGCCATCTAGCGCATGCGCAGGTGACGACTCTCCGCTTTAACCGTTACTATTCCTGAAATATGCATGTACTTTTGATTCATACTTTGCATATTATTTAGAAAGCCAATTTTGTGATTGTTTTGACATTTTTAAAAATTTGGACATGCGGGTGATGATCAGTTATGAAACTGATTATTGATTTCAGTAATAACACATTTATTGAAAATAAACACTTTGCAGTTTAATGAACTGAGGTCAATATTTGTTCAATCTTGAGTTCGAAATATGTGATGACAATTCGGTCAACATGTTTAGCCTATATTTAATATCATGCATGTTTATATTGCTGGTGGCAAAACAAATATATTTATAACAAGTTTACGTTACACATGTTCAAACGCTTCCGACGTTGTCCAATTCGTTCACTTAGAAACTAAAACATTCTTTACTTGTAGTTTCTTTGTAATATGTGCATTCAATCAAATATTCAAACAAAACTTTTAATATCCAATAGAATACACTAAACCTCTCACTCATATTTCACAGATTAAATAGCATCAACATAATCAATAAAGACAAGATATGTAAGTTATATGTCAACGTTAGTGGACGATAAACTGTTTCCACGTGTAATTTACTTTATTTTCAATATTAGCACACACTAAAACGGTTCTCAGGCTGAAAGATTAGATTAATATTAGATTAATATTTGAAATTCGACATTCGGGTGACTGACCATTGAACACTGTTATTATCAAAGTCAGTAGAGTACACTTTGACCATAGTCAACCACAGTCTGAGAAGATATGACCATAGTCAAAGAAGATTCAACTGTCATTTGGTGCCACTGATCATAGTCAAGGTGAGAAAGAGATAAGAGAGGAGATCTGACCATGGTCATATACATCAAACATCCAAATCTTCTCTGGTCATGGTAGAGTCATTTAACAAATGTGGTCGACCATGTTCTGTGATCATCTACCTTGGTCTCGGTCGATTATTGGCGGTGGTGGGGGCACATGCTCTTTCAAATGATTGACACTGACCAGTTTGATGAGGAGTGACAGCGGGATAATCTGGACAATGGCCGGTGAGGTGGCCTGCCAGACTATACAACGCTTTGCATTACCAACTCTCCTTCTAGCCAGCTATGCTTAGATAGTAGTAGTGATAGAAGAGTTCTTTGGTGTTGCTCATCATCTAATAACCAGGCATCAAAGTCCCACCAAACACAGACAAGTGAGACGTCCCACATGAAGATCGTCAGCACAATAGTAACGGCGACGGATTGAACAAAATTAATCTTTAAGGATGATGGGATTCTGATCCCAAAACTGGGTGTTGCAGTTATCTTGGATTTTCCTGAAAAATACTGCACCATAAATGAAACAATAGATTTTAAACTTCAAAATAAAAATATTTGTCGCCAAACCGGATATAGACTGGAGAAATACTACAATGTAACAATAAACGCAGCATAGGTACATTACTGAAAGTGACTGACGTAGAATACTGAAATATACACAACTGTCCTTTATAGCGTTTGTACAATGTTGGAAAAAGACAGGCCAATTTGCATATGGGGAAACTCCCAGGTACCCAGTGTTGCATCCACATTATATCAGGTGCAACGTGTACATCCGTGTATTCTTTTCTGATCTGACCATGGATGCATTGCTCATCTGCACAAAAGAGTTAC